ACGATTCCCCCACACACAGACACAGACACACAAACACAGAGAGAGAGAGAGAGAGAGAGACACAGACACACAAACACACCACTTAGTGGCTTACTTGTTGTCTTGCTTGTAAACACAGACAGCCTTTTTCCGAAAGGCGGGGAGGAGACAAGCAGGACAGAGAAGGTGGTGGATTTTCCTCCATGGGATGTTTCCTAGTGGAGGCCGAAAGGGAGATCCTCACGAACCAGATAGGCGGGATATAAATTAAATAAATAAAATAATTAAAATAAATAGATCTCCCCAGGAAGGGTCTCCTGGTGGATGTTGTTCTTCCTGCAGGGCCAAAACTGTTCTGGTCCTTGGGTCCTAAAGGCACAATTCAGGGCGATTGGCTGTGCAAAAGACCTGCCCCCTCCTTCTCCCTAGGGATTCACCCTCCTGCCCCCAATTCGTGGCCCTCTATGGGGTGGAGCAAAGGGGGCTTTGGAAAGAGGCCGAAGAAGCTCCAGTTATTTCCACATGGAGGGCAGGAGGAAAGAAAGGCTGGAAGGCAACCCAGCCTCTTCTTCTCGGGCATTTCCTCTCCTGGCAGGTCTTTTGCGGAGTGAATGGCTCTGAAGGGTCCGTTCCAGACCAATTGATCCTGAAATGCTTTCTTTTGCAGCAGGAGGAATCAAAACCAAGACCCCCCCCCCTCGGTTGCTGCCTTTCTGAGCCCCTGTGAGGTTTGCAGTGAACTCAAAGGGAAGAGCGAAGCCTGAGCAAGGTTGGGGATTGGACGACAGCAGGTGAGAAAAGTCCTGAGACCTGAACTCTGCCCCCCTTGAGTTGGCAACCCCACAACACAGGGCACTTGGCACGGAGGGCACGGAGCGCCTTTAGGCTTATTTGGTGCTGGGGGGGCCTCGAGAGGCTGCTTGTGTCTCTTCTTGCTTCCAAGCTGAGATGTTCTTCAAGGCAGGAGACCCGGTCAGTCCTTTTGGAAACCCGAAAGTGATGCAACAGGGGCTGCAGTTTTTCCATGCTGTGAGGTTGCTTCTGACCCATGGGGACCCTAAGAGGGATCCAAGAGAGATGATTAAGGAAATGTTCACCATTGCTAACCCATCCCCATGAGTTTCCTTGGTTGAGAGGACATTTGAACCCAGGTCCTGCCCCTACACACTTTATAAATGGCACTTCATTGGCACTCATAAGAGGCCTCTTCTGGTATTTGAGCTGTTCAAGGAGGGGTTCCCCCTGTTCCCAAACTTCAAGTCAGCTTCTGTAGCTGCTGGGATTTGAACCCACATCTCGCAAGGCCCGGTCCAACTCTCAGTCCACTACATCGCGGTGGCTTTGGTGTTTTCTAGATGTTGGTTTTGTTTACCATTTTAGTATAGTATTGAGTAGACTCTTTTAAAGTTTTGTAGATTTGGTGTTTTAATCTTTTAAATGTTGCCTTTTAATGATGTACGTAAGCTACCTTGGGCCCTTTTAAAGGAGAAAGGTGGGGGTTCTGTTTTTCTGCTGTTGCCCCCTCCTTATTGGGACATGGGTAGCTTTTATCTTAGAGCCCAGCGTGAAATGCACCTTCTGCCTGCCTGCCTGTGGCTTATTTGTTGGCTGCCTTTCTGTTCCTCTTCTTCTGCTTCCCGAAGAAGAGAGAAAGATGGGGATATAGACCCATAGAATATAAACATGACAAAGGCACATCCCAAAAGGAAATATTTTTGATTTGCATTATACATAAAGCCTCCAGGCTGATCTTTTTCTTTTCTTCTAGGAAGGGGGTGAGACTGAGCTGAGTTCTCTTTGCTCTTTCTGGGATCTCAGGCAGAGATAGGGTAAGTGAGATTTCAAGAGGTGGCTTAAGCAGCCGTGCCACACACTATCTCCTCTCAGTTTCCCTGGCCCAGCAGGGATTTGAATCCAGGTCTCCTGGTTTCCAATCTGGTGCTCCATCCACGACACCACACTTCCTCTCTGAAGATGTGCAAAGTGTTGGTGTTTGAGGGTATGGTTTTCTTTGCATCTTATTTAGGGTTTTTTAAAAAAAGATTTCAATCCTGCTCACCCGAAACCCCATGGTCACCAAAGGCAGGTCGTCTTGATAAGAGGCAAACCTTGGTCATCCTGATTTGGGGTGTGGGGGGGTTCCCCTTCAAGGATCCTTTCTTGTTCCCCCTGAACAGACAAGTCAGACTGGGGAATTTTGCTTTATACCATCCACCTGCACTTCACAATCTGATAACTGTTTTTTTTTTTTTTTTATAAACTTCAACATAAAATACATAAGCCAAAATACAAATCATTAAGTGTTTCCCTCCAACCTGGTCGGGACCTCTTGCAGTAGTCTTCTTTTTCCATTGTCTTTATTCTTCTTTTTCTTTTATCTTCTCCAGAACTGCATTGATTCTTGATTTGGAACTTTCCCTTTCCCTCTTGTTAGCACATAACAAATAAATCGGCCCCATATATTATAAATATTATTTTAATCTCTCCTTTCTTAACCTTCCATTTGAAATTCAAGTTTTGATTTCTAATTCCTAGCTATTATTAATCTGGCTGCTATTAATAAATTGGTAATCAACTCTCTAGTCATCATATCATATTTCACATTTACAAATATTGATAACAAAGCTATCTCAGGATTAAATTCTATCCCTTTCACATATATCAGTTAATTCTTTAAAGATTAATTTCCAAAATCTTTGTACTTTTTCACATTCCCATCACATATGAAACTATGTACCAATTTCTTCCTCACATTTCCAACAGACATTCAGATAATTACAGTTAATTTTATTCAATTTTAGCAGTGCCAGATACCATCTTAAACTCTTATTCTCACCGACATAAATCATAAAACCCTCATTTCCCATATCTTCATCCACTCTTCACCATTTTTTCCCTAAATCTTGTTCCCACACTAGCTTCAATCCTTCTTTTGCAGTCTCTTCTTCTTTTAAATCTAGGAAAAGTCTATAAATTTTACTTACGACACCCTTCACTGACTCATTCATCTGAATAGTCAGATGAATGGGTGCTTCGCCAGACAGGTTGGAGGGCTATTTCCCTGCCTTTTCTGTCAAGCTGAGCAGTGGTAGCCAGGCATTTGTAGTTACTGATATAAAAATGTAATGAAATAAAACACCCTGCTACTCCTATGGAAAATGAAGCAAAGGAGGAAAATAAATAAGTGGCCCATCAGTCCAGCCTACCCTCAAAGAATGTGGTAACTCCTTTTCCATTTAATTTTTGATTTAAAAAACAAGCCCACATATGTAGAAAACACATACATGGCTTCAGAAAAGGTATCACACATCAGGTTCTTCTCCCTTCCTTGTGTTCGATGGTGAAGGATGTCAAAGCTTGAGAAACGGCATCCTTCAGCCCTCCTCTGTCTTTTCCTCCATAGGCATCGGGGTGGCATCTGAGGCCTAACCCAAATCCTTCTTTGGGGTGAAGTGGAAACCTGCAGCCCTTGATGGCAGACCCTGTAAAGAGATGTTGAAGAGAGCAGGTAAGAAGGCTATGATCATGGCAGTGTCATTGATGAGAATCTGGAAAAGTAATTCTGAAAGAGAAACAGAGAGTCTTCCAGATATCTTTCAGCTCCTGGACGCGTTGTTGAGTGGCAAGGTGTTATCTTGAGAAGGGACGATTGTCTTTCACGGAATGTCCTTGAAAGTCTTGGCTGTGCTCTAATCGAGGATGCAGTGTCTCCTTTCAGGGGAAGTAGTCCTGACGGGAGAGGGGCCTCCTGGGCCTTTTGCCCCGAGTGCCTCTGAAGTGCCAGTTGGCGAAATAAATCAGGAAGAAGGAGCAGAGGTGCCATCATCCTTCTGGGGTTCTTTCACAATCAGCTCCCATCGACCGGCTCAGAGTGTGATCCACCTGCTGGATCAGATTGGGCTTGGGGTCTGATCCTGCTTCAGGGGCTCTTCTTCGACACTTCACAGATGGAAACCAAGGTGCTTTGCTACCTGATGGGAGGCAGAGCCCCTGGAGAAACGGATACAGTTGGATATGGTCCAGTCTTCCATTCAGTGTCTCACGGGAGGTGAAGTGAGGGATACCACTGAGAAGGGCAAACCTGGTGGTCCACACCCACAGTTCCAATTTTCTGCAATCACTAATCAGGCTACCGTCACAAACTTTAAGTCTCTGGCTCTGGAGCCAGAGGTTGGAAGTTCATTTCCCTTCTAGCTCTGCAGTTCTAAGATTCTACTAACTCAGTCCCTATTTCCCTGGCCATCTTTGCTTCCTATCCTGTTTTCATGATTCTCTACTCATCACAGCATCTTATAAATTCTACATCCCATCCCTTTCATGGATATGTCCTTTCTCATCTCCCTCTGAATAATAATTTCTGCAGACTTGGGTCATTTTCCTGCATTTACCACTAACTACTCTTTACCTGTTCTTAAGACCAATACAGTGGGTGCCCCGCATAGCGACGTTAATCCGTTCCGGATTAATTGTCGCTATCCGTCAACATCAGAAAACGGAACTAAAAACCCCATAGGAACGCATTAAACTTTGTTTTATGCGTTCCTGTGGGGCCCAAACTCACCGTTATGCGAGGTTCCTCCATAGCGCCGCCATTTTCGCACCCTCAGTAAGCGAGGAAACCGCGCGAAAATGGTTGCGGTGGCCATTTTGGAACCGCTGATCAGCTGTTTTAGAAACATCGCAATGCAAAGATCGGTAAGCGAAACGCTTACCTATCATCGCAATGCAATGTTTTGCCCATTAAAATCGCAATGCGATCACATTAGCGATTTAAAAAATAGATTGCTATGCGGATTCGTTGTTAAACGGGGCGCTCATTATGCAAGGCACCACTGTAATCTAGCTGCAACATATTCACCAACATTAACTGTTCCTTTGCTAACACTGTCCTTTTCCCTCCCTTGGCTTTTATTTTTGCTAACCAATTCCTCTTCAATAAACTTTTGAAAAATTCCTTTCTATTTTTCTGGAAAATTCACTACAATCCTTGGGGAGAATAAAAGAATAAGGATTTTTAAAAATTATCTGTGGTACAGTTTTCATTTTACACAAGACAATTCTACCAAACCGTGATAGCTGATCTTCCTACCCTGTTTCCCCCAAAACAAGACAGGGTCTTATATTAATTTTTACTCCAAAAAAGGCATTAGAGCTTATTTTCAGGGGATGTTTTATTTTTGTCATGTACAGCCATCTAGATTGATTCAAATGCAGTCATGTCATCTTCCGGTTGCTGCACAGTAGTGGAGAGCAGGGTATCACTTAACTAAGGCTTATTTATGGAGTAGGACTTATATTACAAGCACCCTGGAAAAAATCATACTACGGCCTATTTTCAGGTTAGGTCTTATTTCAGGGAAAACAGGGTATAATAATTTAATTTACTTTTAATTTCTAATTTCAACTTCTCAGAATTTGGCTTTATAAAATCTTCCAATTTTTGTAACATTTATTCCTAAATATTTTCCCTTCCTATTTTAATAAAACCAAGTCATCTCAGATTTATTGCAATTTATATTGTCCTTTCCCCCACTGATTATCATTACAGCTGATAATGGTGATCTCTCCTTAAGATCCCAACCTTTTTAAAGTCACGATTCCCTTTTTGTGATCTCTAAGTAACCCCCTGCCACATTTCTTTTCTTATTTCTTTTCTTTAGTAGTTGGGTAAAGGGAACAAGGAATTTAAAAGGGGGGGGAAGAGGATAACTTAAAATATATTATCATTAGATTTTATTCTTCACGTTACATTGTCTAATCAGCTTTCCATATTTTCCATAGTTCTATTGCCCTCCTAGATTTCCACTTTTAGTTACCTATTAGTTAAGTTCTATGTTTATCCAGTTGTATTTACTGACTCAAACTATTTGTATAATAGATCCCATCTTTCAATTGCCTTTTGTGTTGGACAGTCTTTCAGCCCTTCTGACAAAAGGTCCATCTCTGCTACTTCCCAGATCTTTTCCAAGAGCTCCTCTTGCTTCAGTGTCTCCAGTTTCTTATAATTCTTAGCATAAAGAATTCTAGCTGCTATAACTATATTTATTATTATTTTATTTATTGGATTTCTATCCCACCCATCTAGACCAAAGGTCTACTCATGTATGTATGACTAAGTAAGTCTTTGGTTTTTTTTATATAGTATAGAAAAGCTATAAATAAACAGGTTTATAACAAATTCAGTAGAAACAATTCTGGATTCAATGGAATACAGTGGTGCCTCGTATAACGAGGGCCCCGTTTAACGACAAATCAGCATAGTGATTTTTCCCCATAGGCCCCGTTTCCCCCCAGCTGACCAGCGGGCACTTTGGAGCTACCGTGGGGGATGCTTCTCCCGGCGGTGGCTCCGAAGCCTGCACCGCCCAGCCGGGGGAGAAAGGCTTCCGAGCTACCGTGGGGGAACTTTCCCCCGGCGGTGTCTCCAAAGCCTGCACGCCTAGCCAGGGGGGAAAGGCTTCGGAGCTACCGTGGGGAAGGCTTCTCCTGACGGTGGCTCTGAAGCCTGCACACCTGGCCAGGGGGGAAAGGCTTCGGAGCTACCGTGGGGGAAGTTTCCCCCAGCGGTGGTTCCGAAGTCTGCACCGCCCGGCCGGGGGGGAAGGCTTCAGAGCTACCATGGGGGACGTTTCCCCCGGTGGTGGCTCCAAAGCCTGCGTTGCCCAGATGGGGGGAAATGCCGGCCGGCGCTTGGGAAGGAGGGCAGTGGAGGTCCCCCGCACTCCTTTCCAAGTGCCTGCCGCCCAGCTGAGGAGAAATGCCGGCCGGCGCTTGGGAAGGAGGGCGGTGGAGGTCCCCCGTGCTCTTTTCCAACTGCCCGCCGCCCAGCTGGGGGAAAATGCTGGCCAGCGCTTGGGAAGGAAGTTGGTGGAGGTCCCCCGTGCTCCTTTCCAAGTACCTGCCGCCCAGCTGGGGGGAAATGCCGGCCGGCACTTGGGAAGGAGGGCAGTGGAGGTCCCCCACGCTACGTTCCAAGTGCCCGCCACCCAGCTGATTGGTGGTTCCAAAATGGCCGCCCGTTTCGCACCTCGCTTACCGAGGTGGCGAAAATGGTGGCCCTATGGAGGATCTTCGCTGAATGGTGAGTTTTACCCCAGATGAACAAATTAAACAGGGTTTAATTCGTTCCTATGGGGTTTTTTGTTCCATTTAGTGATGTTTCTGGATAGCAACATTAATACTGGAACGGATTAACGTCACTATGCGGGGCACCACTGTATTATAAAGCAACATTTTTTGCAAAAGAGTATGCACTGATGGTTGTTGTGGGGTTTTCAGGCTCTTTGGCCGTGTTCTGAAAGTTGTTCTTCCTAATGTATCGCCAGTCTCTGTGGCCAGCATCTTCAGAGGACAGCACTCTGTGCTCTGGTGTAGTTTGCCTGGGAGTGGAGAGTATGCACTACTATCCAGTACTGCTTTGCTTCTCTAGAAGTCCACCACATGTGGTAAAAACTTCCCGCTTTTGATTTACACTTCCAATACTCATTTGACACCTCTGTATAAATCTTTGACACTTTTCTGGAGTCCTATACTACCTATAAAACATCAATACAGTGGTGCCTCGCATAACGAGCGCACCATTTAACGATGAATCCGCATAGAGATGTGGATTTTGCGATCGAAAAACCGATCGCATTGCGATGTTTTAAGAGGAAAAACATCGCATTGCGATGATCGGTAAGCGTTTCGCTTACCGATCTTCGCATTGCAATGTTTTTAGAACAGCTGATAAGCGGTTCCAAAATGGCCACCGGGTGCCCAAAATGGCTGCCGCAAGCTTTTTTGTGCGGTTTCCTCGCTTACCGAGGCGGCAAAAATGGCAGCGCTATGGAGGATCTTCGCTGAACAGTGAGTTTCCGCCCCATAGGAACATACTGAATGGGTTTCAATGTGTTCCTATGGGGTTTTTAGGTCCGTTTAGCGATGTTTCCGTATAGCGACGTTAATCCTGGAACGGATTAACGTCGCTATGCAGGGCATCACTGTACATAAGTTCTCCTTAAAGTTTATCAATTTTCTGAGCTTTATATTAATTTTCCATATTTGCCACGAATGGTCAATATCAATACTGTATTTTGTGCCCGCTTGATTATACATTCTTTTACAAGCTCATCTTGCATTTTGATTTCGAGCAAGTAATCATACATTTTCTTGATCACCTTCTCCTTTGAGCCCAGCACAGGTTTGCCAAATACCGTTGGTTCTGTATAGAGGCCCTCTATTTTATCTTGTGTACTTGGAATCCATTTCTGCTCTAGACAACCAATCTAGATGTATATTTGGTTCCTCTAATTCTTCTTTGGATCTTAGATCAGTCATTATTTAATAAATCTTGATACTTAACAATTAAGATTTTGACAAAAAGATTAGGTTGTATAAAGGTCTCTATAGGTGAAACCCAATTTGATATTTTTTGGTATGTCTGCTGTGCCATCTTTTTCCAAGTCCATAATAAAACTCTTTATCAAGTGAGCACTGGAACTTTTATGCTCCTTATATTTTTTTATACCATAAAAATTATGTTATCCTAACTGAAGATCATGTCCTTCTAAGTCAAGTAGCTCATGTATTCTAGAAGGCTTTCATGGCCGGGATCCGATGGTTGTAGTTTTTTCGGGCTGTTTGGCCATGTTCTGGAGGTCTTTTTTCCCTAATGTTTCAACAGTCTCTGTGGCTGGCATCTTCAGAAGACAGGAGTTAGAACTCTGTTAAAACACTCAGGGTGGGTTTTTTGGTGGGGGAGATGGTCTGTCACTGTGATTGATCAATCAGATTGATGGACCATCTCCCCCCTTATCACAAAAATACACCCATAACAAAAAAACACCCTGATCTCTATAATCACCCAGTCTCCTGAAAAGGACAAGTCCCCCACAAAGCTAATCCCACAGCTATAAATACTCAAATATCCCACAAACTACACCAGAACACAGACAAGAGTTCTAAATCCTGTCCTCTGAAGATGCCAGCCACAGAGGCTGGTGAAATGTTAGGAAAAAACAGGGTCAAACAGCCTGAAAAACCTACAACAACCATAAGTAGTGTATCATTATCTAAAGTTTTCCATGCCGTTATCCAAACTAATACACAGGCTCTGTAATACAATATCCAGTCTGGGAGACCAAAACCTGATGACAGGTCTCAAAGTCAACCTGAGGAATTGTTCATTGCAATTCAGTGAATAAGTTGTAACAGGATCAGGATTTAGTCAAGCAACATGTAACAAAGTAACACAGCTGAGTTAATTGAGACAGCTGTG